AAACAGAGGTTGTGCTAGCAAAAAGCTCAGCTCTTCAAACTGAACCTGGTGGGAAAGACAGCCTATAAAGTTGGCTCAGGTGACAGACAAACTTAGAGGCTCTGATAGAATGAAGTCAAGTTTGATTTAGAACAGGGTTGGCTAACTATGGCCCGTGGACCAAATCCAGCCCACTGCCTGTGTTTGTAAATAAAGTTTTATTAGAAAACAGCCATACCCATTCATTTATGTAGGTCTGTGGGTGCTTCCAGGCTACCACAGCAGACATGACTGGCTGCATCAGACCTTCTCGCCCACAAAGCCTAAAATATTTACTATCTGATCCTTTACAGGGAAAAAATGTGCCTATCTCTGATTTAGAGAATAGTGTGATATCTGGATTTTTTTTTTCCATTTCCCAAGTATTAGCATACTCAAGTTCCTATTCCTATTCAAGCTAGTTCACTTAACTGGGCGGGGGGGGGGGGGGGGGGGAGTTGTTGTGGCTGTTGTTGTTAATTGACAATCTTTGATTCAAGTTTATCTTATGTTCAGAGAAAAAGTTCAATGGTTTGGTTTTGGGCTCAAATTAATATAGCTTCTCCACTTTCAGGGCACACAGCCTGGCTGTGGTCCTTGAACAGAACATTTTTACAAACCTGGAACAAAGCAGGCAGGTGAAATGGAATGCTTTTTGCTCTGGAGGATGTCTTTTATTCCAGCTTAACCATACCCTGCTCCTTCCAGCACTAAGGTCCAAAGAGTCTGTCTGTATTCCTCTGCCCTAGCTAATCCTATTTTCTATGAAAGTTCAGATATCATTGGTTGGCACCTAGGCTTTCTCATCAATAGAAGTATGCCCTCTTCCGACTTCTTTCATAGATACCTCTTAAAAACCAAACATTTGAAAACACATTGTTCCCTAAATGCTAATATATTCTACCAGTCTGTCTTCGGAAGCTAAGTGCACCCTACAGTAATGTCACAGGGACTTTAGAACTGGGATTCAGCTCTCCAAATCTTTGTACAGATGTTGGATCACATATGAAACTTTTACCTCATTTTTCAAAACTCTGTATTATGGAAATTTTCAAGCACATGCAAAAATAGAGAGAACAGTATAATAAATCCCCATGTCCCCAGCAGCTAGCCTCAACAAGTATCAATATTCTGCCCTTTTTTCCCCATTTATCCTTCTTCCCAACTTTATGCTTGTTTATTGTTTGTTGCAGTATCTGAAAGCAGACCTCATATGTCAAATCATTTCACCCATAAATGCTTGTTTGTTCCTGCAGATAAGCCCATTCTCCTTTGAACAAAACTGTGTTACCACTATCACATCTGACAAAGTTCATAATAATTCTTAACATTTAACTTAACATCTACTACCCAGTCCAAGTTCAATTTCCCCCACTGTTTCCACAATGTCTTGTTAAAGCTGCCTTGTTCAACTAAGAGCCCAAGTATAACCACATGGTATTTGGTGATCACTCTCTTAGGTGTCTTTTCATCCACAACAGATCACCCTCATTTTTGTTTTCAACTACCACCAGCATATGCTTAGATGCTAATTGGCCAAGCAAACCTTACCAAGGGTAGTACCTCTTCAGGCTGCACATGCTATAAGCAAATTCATAGACCCCGTAGGCACAAACTCACACGGCTCCACTTTCCAGTGCGATCCACCATGGGGACCAATATGCCAGGCCACCCCACACACTTTCTGCTCTCAAGAGAAGGAATTTAGCAAGCTAATTCTCTAAAATTAAATCTTTTCTGTGCTGCAATGGCCTGAAGACTCGGAATGATTTTAAAAAAACAAGGCATCCATTCATTAAGGCTTTTTTTTTAAGTTAGCCAAATTTAATCAAGAATCACAAAGTAAATCAGACTAGCCTTGTAATCCATTATTGTTACGAGTAACAACATTAATTAAACACCTAGCTCAAACAGGACATTCGGTTATAAAAAGGATGACCTGTCCCTGCCCAAAGCGACTTACAGCCTAAATGAAGCAGTTACCACATCACTTACACAAAACACCCAAGGAAGACGACAAGACCTAAAATCACCCAAATTGACATCTATGCCCCTACCTTTAGGTTAAGAGTATTTGTGAGGCTGATCTGGGTGGCAGAATAAAAAGAACAAGAGTCAAAAGGAACAGAGTGTGACTGCTAGTTCTATCATTTACGAGCTGTGCCACACTAGGTAAGTTACTTAACCTCTCTGATTCTCAGTTTTATCATTTGTAAAATAGGAATAATCTCACCTACCTCACAGAGTAGCAGCCATAAACACCGAATCAGAAAATCTTACATGAAAGCCCAGCACTAGTAATGACGACGAAAATAATAATAAATTCATTGACTATAAAACTCATTATGCCAGGCACTAAGCTAAAATGTTATATGGGTACTATCTCATCTAATCCTATCAGTTCTATGAGGCATCTCTTATTCCTATATAATTTTCCAGATGAAGAAATTGAACAGAATGAGTGAGGGATCAATCTACTTGTCTAATATGACACAGCTAAAGGTAGGAAAGTGGGTCACAGGACCTCAGCGTTCTTGCTGTCAATCATGGCATAATAATGCCTCCCAAATGCCACCACAGTAAGGTGTAAAGGTGGGACCAGGGAGTTTGGGGGTGGGGTGGGGAACAGGCCTTCCTACTATGGCTATTAAATCAATTATATTGTAAAGTCATTATTTGTATTATATCATAAAGTACAGCACCTCGTAGCTCCCCACCCCTGCTCAAACAGGAAGCCCCTCGAGACTCCCAAAGATGCAATCCTAAGGCATGGGTATATTCAGAGCCATAATGGTGGTTTCCTTCCTTGTTGGGGCAAGTCTTCAGCCATCTGCTACAGATCATTTAAGGCCTTCTCTATTGTGAGTCTCAAACACCCAATACTTGTTCAGACAAGGCCAAAGTAAAATCAGTTATTTTTTCCTATATAATCTCTTACTTTCTTTTTGTACATATATACAAAAAAAGACTGAAGAAAGCTAGCCACCAGGAAAGAGGTCCAACTGCCACCATGGTTTGAGAAGCCCAACCAAGCCAAGTGGAAAACGTATCTGGACAAGAACTGAGGTCCTGCAACAGTCCCGTCAGATCTCCCGTGTGTGAAGCCACCTTGGACCTTCTCATCTTCCCAGAGCTCAACTGCAAACACATGAAGCTTCTATATCACCCAGGCAACCCACAGAATTGTTAGCAATAATAAAATGCTGTTGGCTTTGGGGCGCCTCGGTGGCTCGGTTGGTTAAGGGGCTGACTCTTGATTTTGGCTCAGGTCATGATCTCAGGGTCATGAGATCGAGCCCTGCCTCGGGCTCTGTGCTCTGTGCCAGTCTGCTTGAAATTCTCTCTCTCCCGTTGCCCCTCCTCCCACTCATGCGTGCTCTCTCTAAATAAATGAATAAAATCTTTTAAAAATAATAAATAATAATAATAAAATGCTGTTCGTTTAAGCCATTAAGTTTTGGGGTGATCTGTTAGATAACTAAAACAGCCAGCAATCAGCTTTTCCAGCCAGGCCAAATATCAAATCTATGAATAAAAGGGGCCTTAATAAAAGTTCACTGATGTTTACCAATAGAAATGTTACATTCCTTCCATTCAAGGATGGCTACTGGCTGAACCACTTATCTCTGTAAACCCAGGGTCTATACTGTACCTGTCTCAACAGTGTTAAATAAACATGAATAATGATCACATTGATAATAATAATGGCAGCTAATGTTTACTGAGTGTTTACATACACGGCTTCACGCTAAACCTTTTACTCATTTAACTTTCACGAAAGCGTTTGAGGTGGAACACTATTATGCCCATTTTACAGATGAGGCCACTGAGGCTCAGAGTGGTACAGTGACTAGTCCAAGATCACAGAGCCAGTAAAGAGCCACACAGGACCTCTTTCACCTTCTGGCCACCTGACTCCAGAACCAGTGCTCCTACCCACTGGCTTTATTACCCCTTCAAGTGCCATCCTACTTTAATAATGTTGCTTCCTTCTCAAAGAGAGGTCTATAAAGAGTTTAAAACTGTGCCTGACCTGCAGTAAGTTTTCAATAAACATCAACTCTTAGGACGAGGAACCCGCAGACGGGGAAGGGAAGAGGACAGCAAGCCCTGATTAACGTTAGCTGTCTTGATGGTCGTACAGGCGTCCTTCACCAGTAAGCACCCCAGGGTTTGGTAATTTTCTGTGTACAGTCTGCTCTCCCCCTGGACTGTGAACCCCCTCGAGAGCTGTCCCTGTTTCTGATTCATCTTTGTAGCTCTAGGGCGCTGCATGCTGCACGTGGCCTGGCCCAGAACAAGTAGGTGCTCAAGAAACATCTGTTGAATGGAAAGGAAATGCTTCATTCACCACAAATGCGAACTTGCACTTACAGGATGACACCTCGCCCAGCCAGCAGTCCTTAAAGTGGCCCCAAAGAAAAGGAGAGGGCAGGAAGGGACAAGTGAAGGAGAACCAGCCTAGGAATGCCCGCCCCCAAGGGCTCCTTGGGGAAGAGATGGGGCTGGGCTTGTGGCCCGAACACGGGAGGGGTCCACACGGAGGGCCGGACCTCCCAAACTCCGAAAACTCCCCTCACTCTGGAAAGTCCCAGGGAAAAAGTGGGGACCCCAGGTGGAAGTCTCCCCAACCCCGAGGTGGCCTCGCCTCCCCCCGCCCTGAGTCACCAGGACTCGGGACGCGCCCTCCCACCCCTTCCCGGCCGCCGCGGGAGCAGGAGGAGGAAGAGAAAGAAAGTGACCGGAAGTCAGGAGTTTCCTAACAACGACCGAAATCCTCCCCCAGGAGGGGAGGGCTCCCCATCCTTGGCCCGCCCCGCCCCGTGAGGAGGGACCGCCGCCAGTGCATCCAAGCGGTTGGGGGTCCCGCTCTTCCGTCCCGCAAGGAGGGCCTGGCCTGTGGCTCCCCGCTGGCGCTCCGTACACCCAGAATTCTGTGAGAGGCTCCCAGGGAGGGGCGGGGGCGCCCAACTGTTACTTACAATCGTCTAAGTCATCATGCAAGTCCACAAAGTACAGAGGGATCTCTGAAAATCAAGAAACACACAGGAGTTACACACAAGGAGTGGGCGCGGCAGGCGGACTCAGGGGCGGGCGGGGGTCCCCGGGCCTTGAGGAGTGGTCCCCGCTGGGGGGGAGGGGGCCGCCTTTGCGCCCGGGGAGCCAGCCCCACTCACCCGCCATCTTGGGATGGGCCAGGAGGCGGGGTCCTCGCGGGAGGGCGGGGCCGGTGGGGCGGGAGGCGGGGTCTGATGCTCCGAGCCCCGCCCCCGGGCGGGCCCCTCCCCGCGAGCCTCGCGGCGCCGGCCGGGCCCCGCCCTCGCGGCGAAGGTGGCTGCCGAGGTGGGCGGGGAGGTCAGGTGACCCGGCCGGCGTCCCAAGATGGCGGCGGCATCGGCACCCGGGAGGCCGAGGCACCGTCCCGGCTGCTGAGGCGGGCCCCGCGCGGCTGGCGGCGGACGGGCCAGGCCGAGGGCTGGCGAGCGGACGGCCGCCGCCCCTGCGCGCCCCGCGGCCGGGGCTGAGCCGTGCGGCGGCGGCGCCGGGGGATGCTCGTGCTGGGCCCGGCCTCTCCCTCCTCAACTTAGGGCGGCGGCGGGCCCGCGCCCCTGGCTCCCGGGCCATGGCGCTGAGGGAGCTCAAAGTGTGTCTGCTGGGGGTGAGTGGCGGCGGACGGGCGCGGGTGGGCCGCGGGAGGCCGGGCAGGCCGGGGACCCAAGCGCGCCCAAGTCCTCCGCGCCCCTTCCCCCAGCCTCGGTGCAGGACCTACCCGGGACCCTCCCTCCGGCCCCGGGCCATCCTGCCCACCTTGCCACCCACCCCCGAGGTCTTGCTGGCAGGAGGGACCCTCCCCCCTCGTCCCTTCCTGGAGTCCAGGGGCTCTTCCCGCCCCCAGAGGGTAAAGAGCCTTCCCTGCCTCTCCATTGCGTCTAGCTTGAGAGCAGTTCCTAAATAGTTTCCTACTAAGGTACTAGTTACAAGTTGGCCAGGTCTTCCAAAGGAAAACCGATGGCAGGCCTTAAGGTTTTACGAGCAGAGTTTGTCTCCTTTCTCATTTGTTTGGAGTTTTTGAACTTGTGGGATACCCGTGGCACTTCTCATAGAGTTACTCTCTGGGGGGGATGTTCAAGTCAGGAAGCCCCAAAAACGAGTTGGAAGCTTCTGCTTCTTGTCTGGTCAGGGCAACTTTGCTCCTTCAAATCATGCTCTTTTGCCTGAGTCGCTGCTTTAAAGACTGAAAAGGATTCCAATAACCAGTCTTCCCCCTGCCCAAATAGGGCGGGGCTGTGATTTATCAGGGGTTACCCAGGAGCAATTCAAGAGTTCACAGTTTACTTATACATGTTAAAAAGTGAGTGTGTCACTTTTCACACTAAGCAGAAACTTTGGGTTTTTCAAAAGGTTCTCATGTCCTTAAAAACTGCAAACCCCTGTCCTACAGTACATTTTGAAATCTAATTACTCCCACTGACTGTTTATGAAAACCTTCTTTATGGGTCCCTTAACTTCTAAAAATTAGCATATAAGATGATTTTCCTAAAATCTTGAGCTTAAGGCCCAAAGTAGTTTTCTTTGTCTGCAAGCAGGTAAACTTATTTGTATTCACCCATCTCTTTCTTTTTCAGGATACAGGTGTAGGTAAATCGAGTATCGTGTGGCGGTTCGTGGAAGACAGTTTTGATCCAAACATCAACCCAACAATAGGGTAAGAGATTAAGTTTATTGAACATATATCTAAACATGTATCTGCAGTCCTTCAAAAATTAAAAGGCGTGTTACGGGAGTGGGGAGGTGTCGCCATTTTACATTCCAGTGCATTCACAGATGGTGGTTTTCATCATCTCTGGAAGAACTTGAACGTGTACAGTGAGGAGTGGTGTATTGTAGGAAAGTTACTTTTGATGTGTGAGGGGAACACTTCAAAATAAAAATAATGAAAGTTTTACTTAGTAGAGCATACTTGAGTCTATAAATATGAACAGCATTACATCTTGAAATAAAGCAGAAGAAAGCAGGTCCTGACACTTATTCTTTCAGGCATTCAGCTAAAAGATATTTAGATGGTTTTAGTTTCTCCTGAGAAGTAGGGGGTATCCGTCAGACTGGAAGGGCTGGCGAATGGAGATGTGGACGCGCAGGACAGTGCTGTGGGCCCCATCACCACTGCGACCTGTCTGAACCCTTCTCATACATTCCTGCACTAGTAGTAATAATGAATTAATACATTAATGTTGAAATTGTCAGCTTTTCCCAGGTGTCTGGTTCTTTGGATAAGTGAAATTGACTGGCTATAGGTTTTTGCCTATAAGAAAACTTTCAGGGTATTTAAATATTGTAATATTAATACTTACCCTGTGAGAAGTTGTGTTTTATAGGTTTTAATACTGTGTTAGGCTTAGAAAATTAAATAGCTGCTATGCAATTTTTATTGCGCACCCCCCATCAAATGGTTTCTTCCATTGAGAGAAAAGTCTGCCCAATATTTTACAACATCTACATTCGAAGGCATGGAGATGAAACCACCACTAACTTTCTGAAATTAAAATGCCCTTTGATATCCTTCAAGAAAGAACTGGGTATGAGCACATGTTTAATACATGACCTCATCTGCCTCAAGGCCTGCCTACTGCCACCTGCCTGGGAAAGAGAAATGGCAGGAAGTGGTAGCAAGTAGTGCTCGTGACTCAGTGAGGAACACCTTTCATACTGGGTCAGAGTTGAAAACCACTCTGAAAGACGAAAACACCTCCTTGGTTAAAAGTGGTCTCTGAGAGATGGCCAGAGAATAGGGAGGGGTATAGCTCCAGCGGCAGTGACAGTGACAGTCCTATCCGGGGTGTCCACGTGCCCATCTGCCGGCCCTCCCAATCTGACAGATACTGCAGTTCCTCACCTGAGTCCCACCCTCTTAACCAGGTGGTCTTGGCTCACATTTCACAGGAAAGAGGAAGATGAGGTTTTCCCCCAGTTTCCTTCCACTTTTCCTTGTGTCTTGTTTCTCAGCCACAGCGGGTGTTTTCCTCCTTTGTGACCACCTCCTCACACACCTGAGCTCTGAGGGGCCCTCCTCAGCAGTTCTCCCTTTCTTCCCCTGCACTGCCTTCTTGTCACAGCCTGCAAACATGCTCCTCTTCAACCTGCTCTACTAAGATAATACCATTCCCCAAGCCTGCCATCCAGTGGTGGCACTCTTGGAAGAGAAGTCACTCCTTCCTCAACTGCTGCTCCCTCTTCAACCCACTGTTGCCTCCATTCCACTCCCACCATTCCACTAAAACCACCCTCCCTGTGTACCAGTTTCCATCTCATTGCCAAAACCAAGGGCTTTTTCTTCTTTATTTATCCTTTGAGTGCCTTCTACATGCCAGATGCTAGACTGGGTGCTGGTGACTAGGCCAGGAGTCAGCAAACTCTGGACCTTGGCCCACCTCCTGTTTTAATAAATAAAACTTTATCAAATCATGGTCACTCTTGTTCATTCACATATTGTCTCCCCTGCTGTCCAGCTACAATGGCAGAGTTGAATACTTGTGACAAAGGCCCTATGGCCCAGAAAGCTGAAAATATATGCTATTTGGCCCTTTTCAGAAAAAGTTGGCTAGCCCCTAACTTAGATGAACTTGGTTCCTGCCCTCATGGACCTTACCTACAAGGAGGAAAGAAAAACATTCTAAAACTAATGCACAAGAAATGATTTATTTGACCTTTTTCTGTGCTGCAAAGGAGAAACATGAGTGCTCTGAGAGCATGTAACAGGCACCTGGCCTAGGCCTAAAGGAATGGCCGATGCCTAAGGGAAACAGTGGAAATGTAAAGCACTTGGAAGCCCTGACATTTAAATATTGAAAGATGGGTGGCTTATAGAGTCTATAATTTTAGCTGTGTTGGAAGGTGCATGGTAGTACCTCATTCTGGTTTTAATTCCCATGTCCCAAAGATGGAGGGAGGGCAGATGTGCAGAGGGAGGCGGGAGGGGCAGAATGGCTAAGTTTCCATTCTCCAAAGAAAGCTCCAATTTAAGTCCAGGCCAGATGACTCTTAGGGCCCATGCTTGCCTCCACCCTGCCCAGTGTGACATGTTTGGCCATTAGGGAAGACCGTGAATATGGGAGAAGTGCAGAATTTAAGACAGGAGAAGCAATGGACACAGAGTTCTGCAGGGGACGAGGTCCAAATCATGGGTTGGAAATATGGGCCTGGCCCCAAGGAGAAAGGCTGGTGAAGTTGACTTGAGACTTGCACAGGTGAAGCTGAGTTGTGGGAGGGGATGAGCGCACTGATGGGAAACGTGGGGAACAGAACACAGCTGAGGAAGACCTGCCTGTGCAAGACAAGTGTTTGGGGGGGAGGGGGGCAGGAGAGTTTCGTTCCAACACAGCCCTGTGGTAAATGATGTTGGAGCCTCCCGCAATCTCCAGAACCTGGCCCCTGCTGCCTCACCAGCCTCCTGGCCACCCCTCCAACATATCCTGTTCTACTGCCTCACAGCTCCTGCTGTCCCCCATGCTACTCACTGCCCTCAACACCACCAACTAGTTAACTTCCACTCTTAAAAAACTTTTCTTCTTAAACTTCTGTTTACAGTATTTTTTTGAAGAGCAAAGATATTTAATTTTGATCAAGTTCAATTTATCAGTTATTTCTGTAGTCATGTTTTTTGTGTCATCCATGTTCTTTGTGTCACAAAGATTTTCTCCTATGCTTTCTTTTAGAATTTTTATAGCTTTATCGTTTAAATTTTAGTTTATGACCTATTTCTACTAGCTTTAGTTTACCATGCGAGGGAATTCAAAGATCATTTTTTTTCATGTGTCAATCTAGTCATTATAGCAACATTTGTTAATGTTGAATTCTGCATTTATTAAATTACCTTGGTGCCTTTGTCAAAAATAAACTGATAAGTATGTATGGGTTTATTTCTGTTCCATTGATCTGTTTGTGTCTCCTTGTGCTGATACAATAAACAGTCCTGATTGCTGTAGATTTATAGAAAGTCTTAAAATCAGGCAGTATATGGCCTCCCATTTTATTTATATTTTGCAGATCTGTTTGGCTTTTCTCAGTCCTTTGTTTAAGTTTTAGAATCACAATGTCCAATTTCTAAAAAAAAAACAGCTGAAATTTTGATTGGGAATATAGCAAATCTGTTGATTAATTTGGGAAGAATTGACAACAATATTGTGTCTTATCCATAAACATGGTATACTTTATACTAATTTAGTTCAGATTTCTGTCAACAAAGTTTTTCAGTTATCACTGTGCAGGCTTTTCACATATTTTTTAAACTTATCCCAAGGTATTTCATGTTATTTTATGATTAGTAGATGGAATTTTTTCATTTCAATTTTCAATTGTTGCTAATATATAGAATAAACTTGATTTTTACATATTGGCCTTGTGACTTTCTAAATTCAGTTAGTTCAGGCACCTTTTTCATAGATTCCTTGGGATTTTCTTAGGTGTACAATCATATCCAATGTGATGAACAGTTTTACCTCTTCCTTTCCAATCTATATGTCTTTTATTGCTTTTACTTGCCTGGTTGTATTAGCTGGGACCTCCAGTACGTTGTTGAGAAATGGTAAGAGCAGACGTCCTTACTTTATTCCCAATCTTGGAGTGGGAAGGGTTAGGTCTTTTACCATTAAGTTGGGTGGCTAGGCTCTAGGATTTTTATAGGTGCCCACTATCAGGTTGAGAATATTCTCCTCTATCCCTAAATCAGTGAGATCTTTCATCAAGAATCATGTTGAGGGGCGCCTGGGTTGCTCAGTTGGTTGAGCGACTGCCTTCGGCTCAGGTCATGATCCTGGAGTCCCGGGATCGGGTCCCGCATCGGGCTCCCTGCTCGACAGGGAGTTTGCTTCTCCCTCTGACCCTCCTCCCTCTCATGCTCTCTGTCTCTCATTCTCTCTCTCTCAAATAAATAAATAAAATCTTAAAAAAAAAAAAAAAAAAAAGAATCATGTTGAATTCTGTCAGGTGGTTTTTGTTTTGATTTTGTTTTTACGCCTTTTGAACTGTTCTTACGATTTTTCTTTTTAATCTTAAAATAGTGAATTTTATTTACTAAATAATCTATACTAAAATATTAAACAAATATGCTCCTAGGATAAATTTTACTTGGTCATTATGCATTATTTAATACATTATTGGGTTTGATATATTAAAATTTTGCTAAGGATTTTTGCCTCCATGAAGTGGATAATTATCTTGTAGTTTTCTGTGATATCTTTCTCTAGTTTTGGTATCAGGGCCTCATAAAATAAGTCGGGAAGTGTTTTCTCATCTTTTTTGCAAGAGTTTATGTGGAATTGGTATTATTTCTTAAAGGTTTGGTATGATACACAAATGAAGCCATCTGAGCAAGGAGTTTTCTTTGTCAGAAAAATTTTAACTACAGATTCAATTTCTTTAATAGATACAGACATATTCATTTCTTCCCAAGTAAGCTTTGGTAGTTAGTGTCTTTCAGTGAATTTGTCTATTGTATCTTTTTTTGATTTATTGGCATAAAACTCATAACATTTTTTAATTGTCCTTTTAATATCTTTAGGATCTGTCTAGCTATACGTTTATAATTTTAATGATCTTCTCAAAGGACCAGTTTATTTCATTAATATTTTTCTATTTTCTATTTCATTGATTTTTTGCTTTTACCTTTGTTTTTTCCCCTCTCATTTGCTTTTTTTGGCTTAATTTGTT